ATCGCCCATGTACTCAGAATGCGTGAGACATCAACGCCGGCCAGCTAGAGGATAGCTCTAATACGTCGCAGAGTTAGGGAGACAGAGACAGAAGACAGTTATCCACCTGCGCTCCAGCCCGCAGAACTTACAGACAAACCCCATCAACAAATCTTCAAAGGTTGCACGGGGTGTCAACTAACGACAATACAGCAGTACTACGGGTACTGACGTTCCCGTGAGGTACTTTCCGATACTATACAGCTGTTGCTAACAAGGGTCGAGGAACGAATAATGACATGCCAAATGCCAGATACAGTTGATTGCGAAGGATACCACCCACCCCCCCCATGGACCGATTTTCAAAGCTGGAATATTACCGTGAGTGACATGGCGTAAGATACCATTGCACTCCCTGGATTGATAAGCTCGATTACTCGGCAGGAAAAAAGGAGTGACATGGCCGCGTTGGAACCGTCTCTTGGAGTGCTTTCCGAAGAACGTATCATTTGATTTCGGCATCTGCTTCGTCGTGGAGTAATAGAGCTTCGAAAACCGGTCCGGGGTGTGTGGTATCTTCTGTCATGTAATCTACGGCGGTACTCCGCAGCAATACAGTAGTAGCGACGGACGGCGCTGCAGCGTTGAAAAAAAAAAAAAAGGCTTTGTGGAGAGCTATCCGATACATTGGCATCCCCTTCGTCGTGGGGTAGTCGAGCTAAAAATACGGTCCAGAGCGGGGGGTGTGGTATGTTGTGCAACTGCTGTAATGATGTACGCCGTGCCGGGCGAGAAGAACGCTCCCGAGATCGTTCTTCGACCTTTGACAGAATACCAGGCAAGGCGACGCCTACATTCCTAAACCCTGTCTCATCAGAACCGTGTTGCTCTTGCTCACGCTGCACCTTCTGCCTCACGATAAACGGTGTGCCGAAAGAGGCGTGCCAAGGGCAGAGGGGGGGTCGGGGGGCGGCATCCATCACCGCATGTGTGTTGGGGGTGGCCGAAAAGGGGGGGGGGCGGAAAGGGGTGCTATTTTTGACGTGTGGGAACCGGTGATGCTCTGCCATGAGCACGGGCGAGCGGTTGCTCCGCAGATGCCACTCCATTCCAAAAATAGGGGTGGGTTGCAATGATGCTCATGTCGACATACCCTCGCTGATCGCTGTAATTAAGGCCTTACGAGAGACAACAACGTGCAGCAGAACCATTCCGACCGGCTGTGTTCGTTATCATGCTTGTCGCAATGCTCTCTCTTGTATGCATAGATGCATTGTAGGCAAATTTGAAGGATCGCCGTCCCTGTGCACTTCTTCTTCATGGAATAGCAATGCTGGGCAAAAACAGCGATTGATTTTCTAAAACGACGGGAGCTTGCTCGCGAAAGCAACAGAGCATGTCGAGTGTCTTTTACGCTTCAGGTGCATAACACGGGAGCGTTGCTTGTAGTTGCTCCCGAACGCGGACACGGGAACACCGAAAGCTTACACAGCAGCAGCGTACATCGCATGTTTCGCGCAGCAACTAATATACATGTAGCCTGTTCTCTTCGCAGGGCAGTGTACACGACAGAGGGTGCGACCATCACCAACACAGAGCAGCCGGTGCAATTTTCAGGGCCCCTCAAGCTTTAAACCAATCCACCGCCTGTCTCAGGACGCCCCCCAAACCCCAAACCTTCGAGTCGAGCCGCCTCCGCAAGGGCGCGTGCAAAGAGGCGACAAGTTCGGATATTTTTCGAAAACAGCAGCACATATGGTCGTGTGGGGGAAACAACAAACAACCACTTTTCAAAAAGACAGTTTGCTGGGGAAAGCTGGGTGTTTCCCCTCCCGACTGCCGTCTCAGGCTTTCGCACGGCGCACGCAAGTCAGCAGCGGGAACAACATCATCGCCAGCCCCAGCAGGGGGTGAGTTCTGAATTAATGGTGGTTGCCATTGACTGGGTCAACCACCGTGGAGTAACCTTCGACCCACATGGCTGCTGCGTGTCCTCCGTTCTCTATATAAATTATAGCCGGGAGGATGTGAATACATTTTCCCTGAGTTTTCTGGGCGGCTTGGGGGGGTGTAAGACGGATGGACGCAGTTTCAGGAGGGCTAGCTGAATGAGTCTGCGGCGACCTCTTGGTGGAGCGGAGTGCCCTCTGAAGAGAGAGGCACTTCGAGTGCGCGCCCCTCTCTTGCTTCTTCCGGCTGATGAGGAGGGCGTCTGTCTGTGTATTTGCGGAGAGGTCGTCATCTCGAGAGAGAGGCAGCCATCCCCTGTTTCGAAACTACCCTTACTGTTGCTGTTTGCCCAGTCCCTCTCACCTGGTGCAGACCTGCCTGTTGGACTGCGAGAATCTCTCAAGCAAGGGTGCCCGTAATTAGCAGCCTGGTTATATTGATGGTCCCTTCCCTCCGCCTTGTTGCCAAACAGCAGCAAGCAGAGAGATCAAGAGCGAAACAGAGGGGGCTCTCTGTTGGGATAAACATAAGGGCACGTATGCGGCAATGTTGGGATCATTCCAAATCAAATTCGCTGCTCGAGGGGGGGGGGCGGGGGTCGAGTAATACACTTCACTGCTGGCCGATAGAGCGAGACTGCTGTGCAGCAGTGGCAGGTGCAGATACAGTAAGTTATCAGAAGAGGTTTTCCGAGGATATATGCCATTCTCGACATGCAGGGCGCGGATATGTTCGTCGCATGCAAACCATCGATCTATGATAGACGGGGGGGGAATGAAAGTAATCCACGGTTTCTTTGTAAAAACAACGAAGGATTCGGGCGGTCGCCAACCTAAAGTAGTATTGCAGTAACAATGTCACGTGTGTAGTCTGGATATGATAGTACCATCGATTGGTCCTTGATTTTCTCCTCGTGAACAAAGCGTGCAAGCATGATCTGCTTTTTTAGCTTGTGCGCTCGCAAAGTTTGCAGTGTCGTTCCGTTCATTGTTCTTGATAGACACACAGAAGCAAGGGCGAATCCATGGCATCCACCTCCAGCTTTCGAAAAAAAAACTGTTTGCTGTCACTCGCCCTGCACTTCACCTCGTGTCCTTCCTACCCCCCAAGGATAGCTCTCGGTGGCCCACCACGACCGTAAGACGGACAAATATAGTCTTATGTGTCATGTTCGATTCTTACACAGCACCGACACCACAACACATTACCCCAAACCCTTTTCTCCCCCCGCCCCCCGCCCCCCCGAGCCAATGCGGCATACCCCAAGGCGGCTCTCTCTCGCTTGCAGCCAGCTGTCAGGACAATAGCGTTTGTGTTGGAGGTCATTCTAGGTGCCACACGTTCATTGAGCGTCCCCGACTCTTGCGTATCGTGCACCACTTTTGATTTTGCAGGACGAGCCGAAAGGGATATTTTAGCATCGATCGGTACGCAACAACATGATGATGGCATGGCTATGTACATGTCACGGCGCTGTTACCGGCCGGTGCCAAGCCGTCCACGATAATTCTTCTGTTGTGTGTGCGAGAGGATCGTGTTGGCCCAGGACCACAAATACAACCCGCGGACGGGCAGTAACTTGCTTTCCCCCTACCTCGTAGATCGCCTCGTAAATAGTGCGTTCTCTGTCTACCGGTGTACAACTACCATTTGGTACAACTCAACAAGCCCCTCGCCTTCTTCCTACACCTGCCTCTTTTTCACGGCTGCTCTCCAGCACCAGAAGCGCAGGCAGGGACGCGGGTTGTTCGACATCATGTCGCCATCTATCTATCTCTCCCGAAGCCGAACGCGACAGGAAAACTCTACAGTCAGTCGCGAAAATTCGACCTTGCACCCCATCCACGATCACACAGACGGGGACGGGATGCCTTCCGAACATCTTGCTTGATCTCGCCCAAAAACCAAACTCCCCGAAGAAGACTGCCGCTGTGTTTGGCGTTTCATGATCTACCAACGTGTCCCTCGAAATGGAGCCACTCGCCCCTCCGTCACCACCACCGCCGCGGGCAATAAACTGTCTTCGGGAAAAAGGCAAGCCACGGCTGTCCATCTTCCGCTTTCCGCCGTCGGAGCGGGGGCGGGGGGGGGGACGCGCGGACCAAAACCACCTATCTTCCTTTCCTATCTGCTGGCTACGCCGCCTTCTTGGCCCTGCCGCTGCTTCGCCGCGAGCTCGGCCATGAGCTCCTGCTGGTCAAGAAGGATGCAGGCCCCAATCATGTCGTCCAGGCCGCTGCCCGACAGGAAGTTGTTGAGCGGGAAGTTCTTCCCTATTCGGTGGTCGGAGCACCGGCTGTCCTTCCAGTTGTACGTCCTGATCTTCTCGGATCGCGATCCGGATCCCACCTTTGTGTGGTTTATCGCCGGGCCGGCAGAGAGAGCAGGGGGGGTGGGGGGGGGGGGGCGGTCAGAGAGGGTACGAAAAGGCCATGCTCGGCAATTGCTCTCTTCAGGGTGGACCATCACTAAACTGAAAAAACATGGTCCTCCCCCTCCCGCTTGGTGCTGACTTTGGCAAACCACTCCCCACCCACAACGAGAGCAAAAACTGCCAGGCAAGGCCGAACCGTTGAGATTCAGGAAAGCTGTTTGACAAGACAATCCCAACGCGGGCTAAGGAACGCATGTGCATGCGCTGCTGGCCGTCGAGTACCGCGTTGTACCGTTGCATAAGAAACCAAGGCCGATCAACCGGTGCCCCGGTGTCCGAAGGGGGGTCGAGGTGGTGCCTACGACATACTATGCAAGCGAGTCACGTGGCGTGACAGAAGGCAGCGTGTTCAATAGCAAGGAAGTGTGTTGTACAACCCAAGGCAGCATGTTGTAGAGCAAAGCATTGCGCTGTACGTAGCAAGGCATCGAGCTGCACATTGCAAAGGCAGCGCGCTGCACATTGCAAAGGCAGGGCGCTGTACAAAGCAAAGGCAGCGCGTCGTACATAGCAAAGGCAGCGCGCTGTACATAGAGAAGGCAGCTTGCTGCACATAGCACCGCGTAGTACATAATTCGCGCGTGCGCACACCTGAGCCTTGCGGTTCCCCGAGGTCTCCGCCTGTTGCTTCTCGAGCTCGATGTCGTACACCCTTGAGCGTAGCAGCTTCATCGCAACCTCCCTGTTCTTAAGCTGGCTCCGCTCTTGCGTGCAGAAGATGCGGATCCCCGTCGGCTTGTGGAAGAGATCCACGGCGGACTCGACCTGTTTTGGGTTTGATCGGGGCGCGATGGATGGGAGGGGGGGGGGGGGTTCACAACCTGCTCATGGAGGCCGTTGTCGTTAGGCCACAATCCCTCTCATCCCCGACACAATTCCCCCGCATCCCCTACACGAGAAAAGACGGAGGCGTCGGGATTTCAAGCACTAGGAAGGCGTTTTGTTGCACCAGGACACAGGGGGCGGGCGCTGTGAGGAAAAACGGGGCAACGGCGTGAAGGGCGAACTGAATTCCAAGAACCGCTTGTGACGGCGGACTTCGTCGTTGCCGCCCTCCTGCTTATCCACCGCCACCACGGCTACTGGCGTAGCTTTTCACTTGTCCATATACAACGGCATCTTCCACACCACCACCACCACCACCACGAGGACAAGATTCACAGATCGCGACTGTCCACATACAACGAACGAACGGCATCTCCACACACCACAAGACTCACACATCGCGACTGTCCGCATACACCGGCATCCCTCCACACCACCACCACCACCACCTCCACAAGACTCACGCCACGCGGTCGACCGCCATCCTCTTTGTGCCTACCTTGTTGACGTTCTGCCCGCCCGATCCCCCCGAGCGGGCCGTCTTGATCTCGATGTCCTCGGGCCGGATGTTGACGGCCACCTCGTCCACCTCGGGCATGATCGCCACCGTAGCCGTGCTGGTGTGTACCCGCCCCTGGGTCTCGGTAGCCGGCACTCGCTGCAGGGGGGGGGGGGGGGGGGGGTACTCGTGTAAACGCATGCCGTCGTCGTTAGACCTTTGCATCCCTACGACGCTGATACGGAGTGATATGCTGTCAACACATGCCGTAGTCGTCGTTAGACTATTGGCCTCCTCGCATCACTGCAATGCCGAAACGGAAGCGCGATATGCTGTAAAAGCATGGCGTAGTCGTTAGTCGTTTGCATCCCTACAATGCCGGGACAGAGGCGCGGTTGCTGTCGGGTTTTCACCGGCTCAGGTTGTCTACGTTTCACAAGGATGAAGCTGGTCATCATGCTTGCGTGTGCTGTGCCAAAGGTTTTGACATTCGGTTTTACGGGGGGAGGGGGTACCCATTTGTTTCCTTCCGATCGGAGTACTGTTAACTGTTCGTCCCTTCTCCTAAGAGACATGCCACAAGCAGTCGGACGCCCTTAAACGTCTCTGGCTACATTTTAGCGATCTGCATTCTCGCTTATCGTCCCCCAAATACCTTCCTGCATTTAGACCCGCCCGTTGTCTCCAGGCAAAACGACCGTGGTAACAAACCCCCATGCGGTGTGCGCGCGGTAACGTACCATGTTGTAAATAGATGCCGAACATCGGTAAAAGAAAAAGCACCCACCTGTACGCGGTGGACCCCCGCCTCGTACTTAAGCTTGCTGTAGACCTTGTCCCCATTCACCTCCGCGATCACGGTGCGGAAACCCCCCGCCTCGACCATGGCGCTCTCGATGACCTTAAGGCTCCACCCCTGGTGAAAAACCGCGCGGAGAAAAATAAGAAGGATTACGAGCGGCCGATAATACCGGCAGGGGCGGTGAGTGACGTCGGGAAAATTAGGTCAAGAGCGTAAAATAGGACAGCAGTAACACGACTTGGAGAGTCTCCGTGCATTTGTCGGACGGGAAGGGCGGGATGGGGGCTTGCGGGCAGCTTTTTGGCTGATCGATGAATGCCGCTGTCGTCCTGTCAACGATGTCAAAATCGATGGTGTGGAACCTACGGATCTTGCAGACATCAAGAGATACCCTAGCGCCAGAAACGACAAAAAGACAGAAGAGCCGACGAACCTACATACAGTGCAAGGCGACGCGTGCTTCGACCTCAACCTATTAATAGTAGGTGGCGCTACATGTAAGTATTGCCAGGACAACCAGAAAAAACGAAAGGCCGTGGAAGAGACAAGAAGACAAGACACCTCGTACACGGCACCAAACAGAGAGGCGCTTCGGCCGGACAGGAAAGGCGGAGACAACCCTTCGCTCACGACTTTTGCGGCGAAAAGGGGTTTCAAGCCTCGCACGGTTCAATGCCGACTAGGCCTGGATCTACAGCTGCCAATGGGTGCAGGTCCTACAGCAGAACACAAGCCGAAAGGGACGGACGGGTCTACCTATTTAGTTCTAACACCAAAACACACACATTGTTCTACAATACTAGCAATAGGTCAAGAGGGGCACACGGGTCTACATCATTCAAAACGAAAGCACAAAAAACATCCCGTCAGCGATATGTAGGAAAAAAGGGACGGACGGGTCTACTTACTTCAAAACGAAACCCCTCGCATTGTTCTACTACACAACACAAACCTGGAGACCGGACACACGCCGCACCACGCACCTGTTCGAGCGCGTACTTCTTGTAGACTCCCAGAAGTTCCGCCGCCCACAGAGCCGCCTCGTCGCCGCCCGTGCCGGCGCGGATCTCGAGCATGACGTTACGGTCGTCGTTTGGGTCCGTGGGCAGGAGGAGGAGCTTCATCTTGGTCTCGAGTGCCTCCATCACCTCCTCCAGATCGCGGATCTTTTTTGTCATGTTTTTAGGCGTGTACGTGCAGTGCGACAGATGGACCCGGGTGTATGTGACGCAGATGTGAACAAGAAAAGCGCGACAGAGAGACCATGTGGCGTAGATTAGTGACATACTCACACAGTTAGACAGACACGTATACGGATAGTTAGACAGAGAGACAAGACAGACATGCACACACGTTCACACGTAGACAGACAGACAGACCCCCAGATAGACAGAGAGACACCGAGACAGTGAAAGTACAAAAGAGAGAGGGGCACACACAGAAGCACGGGTACGTGAGAAAAAGTGGACAAAGCTGGAACAAACACCCTAAGAGTGATGTATGCGTCAAATGTTGCTGCATTTATAAGACTGAGGTCCTTAAAAAATATAAAAATGTCACTTGTTCAAACAATGGCAAAAGTCGGTTCGCCGAGACCGTTTGCACACCCCACCTCCTCCCTCGCCATCTCCTTCATCTCTGCGTCGCCCCCTGCACCGGACGACTCCGTAAACATTTCCTTCGCTCCTTCGAGATCTTCCGCTGCCTTGGTGTACTCGGCGTAGCAGTTCACGATCTGCACGCGATGCCAAGCAAAGGGATTGGGTTGGTAGAGTTCAGAACACGTTGTTTTCGGGGTTGAGGATGCGTGCGAAGAATAATTAATCTGCATCCAAAACGATGCCTTGTTGCGATGAAAAGTTGTTCGGACGAGGTACCGCCTGCACTTTGGTATTCAGACACGAGTTGAGTTCTTCCCCCCAAGCATGACACACAGGGGCAAACGCTCAGTCCCCACCAGGAATAACACGAACAGCACGCCCTCCCTCTGTACGAAAAGCGCACACCTCAGCGGTGCTCAACTTCGAACTAGAGTTTGATGGCGTGGATGGAGGGAGGGAATGCCATGGGTACCCCCACCCTTTGGTAGAGAACACAGGATAAAAAGCAGCAGCGGGGGGCTGCTTCCAAGCAACGTTGGCTTGAGAAAAACAGCCACAGAGTTAACAGCTCCCTACACGATCGGGTCGGTGCAGCGTCGAGCGTTCTTCGTTCGTTCTCTGTCGATTTTGCGTGTCTTTCAAGACAATGCCCGGAGTGAGCGGCCATGTCTGAGCGAGGAAGGATTGTGTACCTTAGCACGTCACCGGCGATGCCAAGGAGCCTTCGCCACAATGGGCATGTATGAACCCGCGTCACGTTCACCAAACAAACGTTCACACAAGAACGTTCACGAAAAGAACGTGTCAGGCTGCACCGGTTTGTCTGGGACGGTCTGCTCCGTCCCGTCCTTATTCGTACAAAGCTTTCGGCGTCAACAATGAGAGTGCCATAAATTCTAACGGCACTAGGTCTGCTTTAACACAACACAGTGCGTGGGCTGTTTCCCTGGCACATGCTTGCCACAACAAAGCTGTTTGTCTCGACATATTTGCCACAACGGTCCCATGACCGAACGCCGCAGGACAAGGGATTCGTCGGAACTCACCCGTTGCCTTGGGGCATTGCTTTGTCTGTTGTATGCCTGATTGCCTTTCCTCCCGTCTGTGAGTTCATGCAAACTGCATCTTCCAATACCGGCCCGCTACCGCTCTCGATTGGTTCTTCCGCCTGTATTTGTGAAGTAATTCATCTGGGAGCAGGTAGGCACATGCTCTCATGTCTTTACCTCTTCTACGCTGGCCCGCTCCTGAGAAACCTCCATGATCAGCTTGGGGTTCGCGAGCACGTCCGGGTCGCCCAAGCGTTCAGTCAGCTCGTTGAATGTCCGGTCTATCCCCGACAGCTGCTCCAGCACGAAGTCATCCAGGGCCTGTGACGGCGGTCGGTCGGCGGCACAGGTAAGTTCGAGCAGAGGCATGCCAATCACAACAACAACGGTGGGTGAGAGTGGAGGGCGGGGGCGTAGTCGTAAACATCTCGAATGGGTAGGTTTCCGTTGTTTTTCTGTAGATTTTCATTAAATATGGAGCAGGGAGATGTCAATCACACAACAACGGCTGGTGAGTGGAGGGCGGGGGCTTAGTCGTCTTCCCAGCAGCGGGAACCTCGGGGAAGGGGTTAATTGGCGATATAGAGCAGGAAACGTTGCTTTTCCGTTGCGCGACTCAGCTGAAGAGGAATCAGGGGGTAAGACCCACGGCAATTTCACGGACGTTGCTATTCCAGTTTCGTACGTCCACCGCTGCCTGCGTTTTTACCGTATCTCGAACCGCGGACGCCGGTTACAAACTCCCAACCGTTTCGCTCCATTGGCTGTAACGGTCCTCATACCGCTGCGATGGAGATCATGGGCCACTCTTTTTTCCCTGAAGACGAGACTATCGACTCATACTGGATATCGAACGACCGACGTTTCCTTCGTTCCAAAGAGGCAGCATTCCGCCGCGATGCAAAGTGACTGGCCGCCCTACGCTACTGGTACAGCTGGGTGCCAGGGCAAGCTTTGCACAAGTAGACGGAGTTCGGTACAGCCGGTGCTGCTGCAGTTTCACCAGGCGAAATTGATTCCCCACCCAGGTTTAGGACGGGAGACCGAATCAATTGGGAAAGCCGTCCACCCCAAAGACCCATGGAGCACAGCATTAGCAGCATACTTTCTGCCAAATGCGAGGTACACCACCTGGGCTGCAGATTTGGCCAAATATCATCTGTGATGCTACAGTACCCTATGCACGCCCTCTGGGTGGAGAAATGCACAGCAGTTGAACATGAGTTGAACAGCAAAGCATGTCGTTTCATCCAGGATGGTGGTACAACGGCGGTGGTACAGCGGCTTGTGCTCCAAGTGGTCGGGGTGGTACGAAATACAAGAGGCGTTACCCACAGCTGCAGCTGCTGCCTGCAGCTGGTCACTACTACCTTTGCCATCCCACCATTTCCAACTACTGCTGTACGACGGTCGACGGTAGGCCGCCCTGCTGACCGCAACATGACACGTTGACAACAACCTGCTGGACGCTGGTCCTCCTCGGCTGCTGCTTTTTGAGCTGCTGCAGAGGGCAGCCCCCCAAGAGCAAAGACAGAGCCCTACTCACCATTCCCAAGGCTCTCGAACCCCTCGACGACGTGGCAGCCGACCCTCGTTGGCTCCCCATCGCCCCTAGCTGGTGTTGGTGTTGCTGCTGACTACGTTGTTGTTGCCGCCGCAGCTGATGTACTTTGGGGAAGGAGTACACGAAACTCGACGCCTCAGCCAGTGCACATGACAGGCACAACAATCTCGCCGACCTTCTCGCGAACACCATTTTTCCCAGTAGCAGTGCCTTTTAACAGCGCAGTCTCGCTGCTGCCCTTGTACGATGATATGTCGTGTGTGCGGCCGTGTCGTACATCATGCTCCCGTGTGAGGGAGGGAGCACACAGACAGTATGGCAACATTCCGATGAATATCCCGAACGTTTACAAAATACGCTTCGTGTGCCCCCTTGAACTGGCCGCCGGGCTCTGCACATCATCATGACAACTGACGACGGCGTGTTTGTTCTACCTCTGCCAACAAAACACCACCTCGTGCTGCCTGTAAGCGGAGCGTCGCTTTGTCGCCACAAGTCCACCCTGGTGCGCACAGACCTGGTCTCTGTAAAACATGCGGCCGACCGGTGGCCTCTCAACAGGTGTAGGTGGCACCGCTTCTGCTGTGCACGTGCGTAGTAGCGGTAGCAGCAGCGGCCCACCACCACCGCCGTACGCATGGGTGCAGTCCTGCGGCGGCAGCGCGCTCCCAGGGCCCGGCGCACGAGACGTGAGGGCTGACGCCAAGCTCTCGGTGAGGGCTACTAGGGTGGAGATGCGATCGCCGTGGATTATGGCAGCATCACCCGCCGCCGAGGGGCCTGCGGCTCCCACGGCCGCTTCATGTGTTGCCGGCAGCCGCAGCAGCAACAGCAGCAGCAGCAGCAGCAGCAGCAGCAGCAGGCGACTACGGCGACAACGGTCGATCGCTCCGTGCTCGGCCCTGGCGTACGACGTGGGCGAGAAGCGCATGCTGCCGGACGACGCGCGGGACGCCCTGGCGCAGGGCGACGTGTTCAGGGCCCTACTCCTGCTGGAGGACGACCCGGCTGGCAACGTCGAAACGACCGAAGCGCCATCATCAACAGCAACAACACAAATAATAGGCGACCAGCAGCTACCGGCGGCGGCGGCGGCGGCGGCGGGGACCGGCCCCAGCCCCAGAGCGGCCCACGCGAGACTCATCCAGCTCCTGTGGAAAACCGGGCACGAGAAGGAGGCCCTGGAGACGTTCGACCTTGCCGCGGCTCGCGCCCGCGAGGCGGCCACGGCGGCGGCGGCGACGTCGGCCAGTTCATGGCAGCCGCAGCAGCAGCAGCAGCAGCAGCAGGCGCCACCCTTTCCCAACGGTGAGCAACAGACACGACCTTTTCCCAACGGCGAGCAGCAGGCGGCGTCAGCCAACGCCGACGCTGATGCCGCCGCCGCCGCAGAGGCAGCAGCGTTGTCGGCCGCGCAGCAGCTCCGACGTACCGCCGCCGCCGCCAGGCACGGCGCCGGCGTCCCCGGGCTCTACCTGGATCTCGACCCGGACACCTGCCACGGGATCATGCGGCGGAAGCTGGAGGCGCAGGACTACCTGGGCGTGATCGAGGCCATGCGGGCGTCGTCCCGCGCGCCCCCTCGTCTTTCGGGAGGGGCTGCTGCTGTTGCGAAGCAGGAGGTGGGACGGGGCGACGGCGGGGTGGGATGGGCGCCTACGGAAGAGACGTACGGCCTGGCGCTGGAGGCGTGCGGGAAGGTGCGCAAAGATGGGCAGTGCGCCGCTGCTTCTTGCTTGGCCATGCCGCGTTGGGTGCCATCCTTAGAGCATGTCGTGTACATGTGTCTACATAAAAAAAAAAAATGTGTCTCTAAGTGCCGAGCTTACAGCACGTCGTGTACATGTGCATCCAGGTTTTTCTTCACGACACTACCACCATCGCCGGCGGCATACTTTAGGCGTTTGTACCCAGATGCACGTATTCTACCCTTTTTGGACCATGGCCGTTGTTCCTCCAGGCTTTCGTTTGTGCAGCTGCCATTGAAACCGTTCTTGCTTCCCTCCGCATCCCCCCCTCCCCCCGTCCTCTCCCCTCTAATTCCCACCATACCCTTTCCCCCCCCCCCCCCGGGCGGACGAAAAGGTTCGAAAGCGGTGGGGTTTCAAGGCGCCCTTGTTCTTGATCCAGGAGATGCGGGACGTTAATCTGGAGATCTCCCTGGTGCACTACCGGGGGGCGGTGACGGCGTGCGCGCTCACGAGGCAGCTGTCCGGGGTGCTCCCCCTGCTGGACGAGATGAGGGATCGCGGCGTGGCCGCGGACGTGGCGACTTAGGACGCGGCGATTTCGTCGTGCACCCCCAAGAACGGGCGTACACGGGGGGGGGGGTGGGGGGTACTGGTATGAACGCCTGCCTACGGAGTTGTTAGACCATTTGACCTCGCTCCCCTACGGACGGACGGAGCGATATGCTGTAGACGCATGCCTACGGAGTCGTTAGGCGGTTTACCTCGCACGCCTACAGTACGGACGGAGGAGCGATATGCTTTAAACGCATGCCGTAGTCGTTAGATCATTGACCTCGCATCCCTACGGACGGAGGATCCGTATGCTGTACACGTATGCCGTAGTCATTTGACCTTGGCATCCCTAGAATGCCGGGACGGAGCGACATGCTGCAAGCGCATGCCGTAGTCGTTAGGTCTTTGCATCCCCACAATGTCGTGACGGAGGAGCGATATGCCGGGTTTCCGCAGGCCCAGCCCCGTCAACGGCATCAGTTAGCGTACGCGTGTGTGACGCATTCAATGGTAACTGCCGATGATGTCTGTAGCCCCGCTGGTTTATTTAGGCCCAGTGCGATTGCTCTCGACTGGCCGTGTTTTTAGGCTTCCAACACGGACGGCGGACATGCGCGTCGGTTTGTGTCCAGTGATCTTCGCTCGTGGCGGTGGCAGTGGCGAAGGCGGCACCGATGACAACCGGACATCAATACACGACGACCTCTCGGCCTTGTTTAACTGTTGCCTCGCCTCTCGTGGTTGTGAGTGCTGTTGCTGCTGCTGCTGCTGCTGCTGCTGCTGCGGCGGCGGCTGTTATTGCCACCATCCATTCTTCTCGACCACTTGGCCTACACTACCGCCGTCCCGACTGGTTGATCACCGCAGGTCAAGCGGGCTCTAGGCTTGGTGCAGATGATGCGCTCGGAGGGGCTTGCTCCGACGGCGATCACGTACAATGTGCTGCTGCGCTTGTGTGGGCTTGGCGGGTGCTGGGCCACGGGGCTGGAGCTGATGGGCATGATGGAGGTATAGTACTACTCGAGGAGCGCTGCTGCGTTGTGTTGTTGGTGATTCTACAGGAGGCTTGATGGCCATGATGGAGGTATTGCAGAGCTGCGGCGTTTTGTTGATGACGATTCTCCTGCTGGGCAGGAGGCTTCTATTGGGCATGATGGAGGTATAGTAGTACTCGAGAACGCTGCTGCGTTTTGTTGATGATGGTTCTCCTACTGGGCACGAGGCAACCCCTCGTTGCTCCTTCCCTCCCTCCCTCCCTCCCTCCCTCCCTCTTCGTCGGTTTGGTCGCCAACGGTGGTGGTGCGTCGCAGTGCAGCGGTCGTTGCCCTCGGTGTTTATTTCCGTTGCTTTTCCAACCCAGCACGCAAGTGCAGCACTCGGGCGTGGGTCTTTGACAGGGGAGGTGTGCGGCGCCCTTTTCTGGCGTGCCCCACGTTATCCCCCCCCCCTCGCCGTTGCCACTGGTACAGGACGCGATGGAGGTGCCAACGCGCAACCACCACCTGTACCTGCTTCCCTGACCCTGTAACTCCCTCCTTCTACGCATGGTACGCATACACACACGTGTTTCGCGAACAGGTTGGAGCAAGCCTGAACAACGACCCTGACGGTTCCGTTTCGCCTCTGTCTGTCTCTTGGTGTTTTTTTGTTTGTTTGTTTGTTTGTTTGTTTGTTTCTGTGGCCAGGACGAGGGGATAACGCCCAACCCGTACCACTACAACTCCATGTTCATGGCCCTAGAGCGCGGGGAGCGGTGGAGAGAAGCCGCCGAACTGTTCCGCAAGATGCGCGCATGCGGTACCAGACCCAACGCGCTGACGTACGCGCCGCTGATAGGGGTGATGGACCGCTGCAACAAGCAAGATATGGTGAGATGTTGTTGGTGTTGGTAGTGTTGGTGTTGTACAGAATAAGAAGCCAACCTGCTTGTACAGAGCAGCCCTGGTTAGTAAATCGCCTTTCGGGACATCGACCTTGAATTTTGTACTAGCAGTAGGTTGTTGTTGTTGTTGTTGTTGTTTTTGGTTGTTTTTGGTTGTTGTACAGAACAAGAAGCTCTGGTTTGTTCAGAACAACGCTGGTTAATGGAGCACCGTTAGGGACATGCGAACCCTTGAATGTGGCTGTAGTTGTTTTTGGTTGTTGTTGGTGTACGGAACAGTACAGTATCCCTGGTACAGCAGTAGAACAAAAGAGACCCTAGCTAATACAGCACGTTTGGGGGCATACTGCTGTACTGCTGTCAGTACCCTCGGATGTGGATTGACCCGGGTCCCTCAAGAACCCCCAGAAAAAGGGCTGACCGGTTAGACCTGGATTTTTCTTGAGGTTGCCATGCACGTTGCTGGACGCGTCATCCACATGCCGGGCTGAAACAACAGGTGTGAACCTTGAGAGCTGCTCCAGTGCATCTGCAACATCTGCTTGTTTCATCCCGTTCTTGAACAGCATCGGCTAGGAATAAAATATGTCAACCCCCAACATGTGACGATAAAAACGAAAACAGGCTGGCGCGGTGCTGAAGGAGATGCTGCGGGAGAGCCCCAGGGACTCGACGCGGGAGTATAACCTGCTGCTTAACGCGTGCGCGAAGGCCCGGAAGTGGGAGCACGCGCAGTTAGTCTTCGAGGTGTGTGCATCCTGTCCCTTTTTTTTTACCGTGGATCTCTTTATATATAGGTTTTGGTCCATGTTGCCATGTTGTTTCCCTCCATGACATGAGTTTCACCTTGCAGTCAGACCCGTCTTTTTTTGCCGGGGGAGGGGTGGGGGAGGGGGGGGTTACGTGTTGTGTATTTTGTGTCCATGTTGTGACATCGAAGGTAGCTACGCCGTCGGTTCTGGTCCTGCTGCTTTTCTCGCAGCAAGAGTCACGAGTTTCCTCTACACAAGCTACGCCGCGCTCTGCCCCCCAACCGTCATCACGGCGGTTAACGCCAAGCGTGAGTCGTTCTGAAATACTTAAACTCAATCTCCTGAGTATTGATGAGTATTTTTGAAACACTCACTCAAACTGTTGAGTACACAGGAGTATTTTTGAAATACTTACTCAATGACAATAATACTCCAAGGTTGAGCTTTTTCCTCAAAAATACTCCTCGAGTAAGAGTATACTTTTCTTAACTCACCCTTGGCTTTAACACCTAAACGGCGCCGCCCCACGATCACCTCGCTCGTTGATGAAAAAACAATAATAAAAAAAACAGGACATGAAGAAGAAGGCGGGCGTGAAGCCGGACAACGTCACGTACAACACGGTCATCAACGCGCTCGGCCGATGCGGCAGGGTCAAGGAGGCGACGGTGCACCTGCACGCCATGAAGGAGCAGGGGCTAAGCCCGGACGTGGTGACGTTCGGCACCCTCATACACGCCTGCGCGCAGAGCGCCAAGAGGGAGCCGGCGCTGGCGCTGTTTGCGGAACTGGTGCGCTCTCTTTGCTCTCTCGTTGGTTGCGTAGGAACGGCAGTTAAAAAAAAAATGTGCGGCGGATGGCCTACAGCTGGGTGTTCTCGTTACAGGCTCTTTTTTAGCGGCTTGGTGAACCTTGTCTCATGCCACCCTTTTTTTTCGGATCCACAGCGAGCGCTGTTCTCCCAACTCGTTTTTTTAGATGTCCAAGAAAATCGTGTGCGTGGAACACAGGCATCGTGTTCGAAACAAATTGGAAATGCCTACAATTGTGCGAACTCTAATAGCTCTTACATATAACTCTTACCCCTCGATGGTAGGAGGAGCCGCGTGTAGAATTATTGCTGTTTTTTTATTTTCTGCGGGATCTTTCTTGGGTGTGTCGTGCGTGCTCTGTTTTGCGCGGGTGCTGCGGTGGCGGCTTCTTGTTTGTCCGGCTCTTTCCCTCTCTATTCTACCTGGACTCCCGACAACAGCGGCTGTTCATTTGTGTGCGTTCCTCCAAGCTTAGGCCAGATGTTGTGGAAAATTTTATCCAGATGGGAATCCGGGGGACCGACAGATAATGCTCAACCACCCTCTAAAAGCAGGAGGTATGTGTACTGGATAGCAAGCAGAGAGCACGGAAGCGCTTTGTCAGTTCGTCCCCGCCTCACAGACCCCTGCTTGTCATCTAACCGATAAGGCTGTACACTCCACTACTGTGAGCTTCTCGTCGGAGCCAAGTTTGGGCAGCTAGAGTGCAATGTGCGTAGAGAGTATGCCGTTGCCATGGGTGCAATTCACCTTTTCCGATTTGGAATTTCAAGCAATTCCAGCTGGGAATTCATGAGGAATTCCAACCAGGATCGTCCAGCAATTCCAAATTGTAATTCGTGTTTTAGACAGCACGATGAACGCACACCGCACCCTAGCTCCCCAAACTTGGCTCGAAGAGGCTCACAGCAATGCACTGCGCGGCCTCGAAGGTTTGGATGCCAACGGGTCTCTGAGTACTGAGTGCCAAAGCGCTTTTGTGCGCTTTTCCAACGAAGTACGCAGAACTCCTGCGGCCTCATGTGGGTTTGGATGCAAAAGGGGTACAAACAGTATTCCGAATCGAAAAAATTTCCGTAACAATTGGCGATTCTCTGCGGCTTGGAGTGTATCCGGCAACGATGAACAGCCTTACCACAGGTCACGGGCACGCTTGATCGTTTATTTTATTTTATTTTTTTGTCTTCACTTCAAACCAGTGCTCACAGCACTTGTGCCGCGTTTGATCGTATGAAGACGCAATTTCGCGCGCGCTCCCCCTGTCGACCTCCGCCAACGGTACGCAGCCCCCGTCCTGACAATTTTGCTGCCTCCGTGATGTCATGTTTACCCCCCCGTTTTTCTTCCTGTGCTCTCTCTCTCTCTCTCTCCCTCTCTCTCTCTCTCTCTGCAAACTCCCGCCAACTTTGATTATTCAGGTCAGCCGCGGGTTGAAGCCCAATCTGGAGGCTTACAAGGGTTGCATCGTCTCGTGCCATAAGACCGGACACTATCAGCAGGCAAGCAACGCACACGGCGACGACTAGCATGTAGCGGGAGCAGCAGACTTTTTTTTTTTTGTTCTTACAACAAGACAACAACTCTTCCACAGCAATGAGTCCGGGATAGATCATTATAGCAATGAGTTTACAGTGTTGTATTCGCTGAAAAAGTGTTTCGTTTCGTTTCGAAGCCGAGCCTACCCCCTCCACACACACACGCACACGCCTTCCGCCGATAAGGAGAACTCCTTCGTCCAACCCCAGAAATGGACTACAACCAGGAAGTATTCCTGTGTGCCCACTGCCCCAGCTAATAGCAACAGCTGACCGCCCTCTTTTTTTGTCGCGCTCTCTTGCTGTGCCGCCTGGTTCAATTTTTTTTTCGAATGGGTAGTCTTTCTGTGTGTGTGTTTATTATTCCTTAATTTGTTCCCTTCTGTTGACGTGCTGCGGTGGTGGAACAACAGGGGCTGGACTTGTTCAACCGCATGTTGGCAGATAAAGTGAGGATGGACAGGGTGGTGTTCAACACAGCCATCGCATGCTGCGCGCAGCTCAAGCTTTGGAGACGAGGGGTGAGAGAGTGCAAAGAGATGCACACACCAGCAAATTTCAAGCATTGCGTTGTTCCCACCCTCCGCATCTCGATTTTTTCACCGCACGTATCGGATCATGGTCTCCCCTTTTGTACCTTCTTTCCTGTATCGCCCCCCCCCCCCAACCGGGAACTTTGGCACAGTAAGAAGGAACGACTGGCCATTGGTGAACGGTCCTGTGGGAACTGCTCCGTCCTCTCGAGGACGCGTGGTCAATGGTCTAACCGCTAAGGCATGCAAAACTTAAGAGTATACCCCCTCCCCCCCCCCCCCGGGGGGCCCCCCCCCTCCCCCAATTTCCCCCCCGTCTGGTTTTTCCCTTTTTTTTTTTTTTTTCAACTCCCTGTGTTGGTTAAAATTGGGCCCTGCCGCTCCCCCCCCCCCGGGCCTTTTTTTCCGGAAAGGGGGGAAGTTGGACAAAAAGCCCCAAAAGAAAGGGGGCCCCGACCCGTACAGCTACCAAAGTGGCCTTTACCGGTGCGTCCAGGGGCAACAATCCCCACAAAAGAACCTGGGGCTCCCCCGCCTGGGGGGAGTCCACCGGGGGGGGGGGGCCGGGGGGGGGAAAAAACCCTGTTTTCCCGGGCCTTTAACCCCGGGGAAAACAAAATTTCCCCCCCCTGGGTTTATTTTTAAGCCCCACTTCTCCCCCAAACAGGGAGCCAAAGTTCATTTAAAAAAAAAAGGGGGTTTTACCCCCCCCCTTTTTTTCTCCCAAACCCCCC